TATCTTACAGTTGTTTACTTAATACTCCCTTTGAAAAAATTATTTTAAATATCTTATTTGAACATGTGGGAAGTTAGGGGGATGAATCATAATGGTTCCTTCTTCCTGAGAGTAAACTTCTATTCTTTTTCTTATTGTCCTAGGTGCTTGGAGGCTCACAGACAAACCTAAGCCTAAATGGTAGCTAAGTGGAATAGCAACTTTGGGTACTAAGTTTATATGTATATTTCATTAATTGTGTTGGTATATATTTTATTATAAACCATCAAATCCTTTTCAAATAAGGTTTGGTGTAAGTTGAAAAATGAAACATCTTAGTCTTACAGTTTAATCATCAACTTGGTATGGGATCAAGTTACATAGACCTATTATGGATGCAGGGGCTAGGAAATTTTTTTCTGTAAAGGGCCTAATAATAAAAATTTTAGGCTTTAAAAGCCATACAGCCTCTGTTGCAATTAATCAGCTCTGCCTTTGTAAAACAAATGCTGCCAAAGGCAATACAAAAACAGAAGAGAGTAGCTGTGTTCTAATAAAACTTTATTTACAGAAACAGGAGTGGGCCAGATTTAGCCAGTGGGCTATAGTTTGGCAGCCCTTGGCAAGACCATCTACATGTTCTGTTACTTTTGCGTTTCTTCAAAAAACATTCTGTGTGAAACCTCTAAGTTGTAAAAACAAGAGCAATTTTAAACTGCAAGAGTGACTTTAATTCTGTAGCTTGATTGCAGGTTTGTTATTTTGGTTTTCATGTAGATTATAATTATACATAATTTAAAAGTGTAATATGTATTCAGAAATTGACAGAAAACTGCCAAATATGCACTACTCTTCAAGTATACATAAATAATTCTGATCTAATGATAAAATCTACTCTAAGTCAGAGTCCCTTGACCACATGCTACTTGGATTTTACCACTGGAGTAGGATAAAAACTTTTCCTTTTAGGCCACTGTGCACTGAAGCATAAATTCACTAAATAGCACTTACATGGTAGGAAACAGTATAATTGAATGGTGTTTCTATCTTTTCCTTCAGAGAATTATATGTTCTCACAAATGCAGGGACATAAGATATATTTTTCCAAAGCAAGGGATAGGAGAACCATAATAGTTCACGTTTTTACTCTGCTACATTTTGTAGGCCTAAATCTATGAAAACAATTGTTCTCATACTGTTCTCAAAACCAGATTAAAGATGCAATTCTGTTTGTAAATACCTATGCAGTTAAATCATAGGCAGTATAATAGCATAATAGCAAGCAGACTGTTGCATTGTTTTATTCCAAAAATTAACTCTAAAAATTGATACTCTTTGAACCAGTGATATGTCCCTCATAATATATCTTCCTCAAACTGGGCAATGCATAAGAATTGCTTGTGGCTGTTTTTAACAAGGAAAATTCTGGGTAGCCATTCTCTGGCTACTGCATGAGATAAAACAGTGACTGGACTTTACTTTGTCTCCTTCTAAAACTCTGTTAAGGTTGGACAAAGTGATTCAATCCCTACCACATACTACTCTGAAATTAAGATAATTAATGCCTTTAAAAGACAAGCAAACTAGGGCTCAGAGAACTTAACTTGCTTAAGTGATATGTTCATAGCTCTAAAATCTTTCCCAATAGATACATCAACTTCTCTTATGTCACTAGAAAGGAATTAACCAGTGGGCGGGGGACCATAACACCCATATTCTAATTTAGGACTCAAAATTGCCTACTTTTTCCTTTTCAGTAAGTGTCTAGTAAATAAGTCATAGGAAAACTAAATCAAATACAAAGCTCAAAGTTTACTCTGTCAGTAAAGATTATATTTAATAGTGAAGTATTTCCTATCTGGCCTATGACCATTTTAGTTTTGCTAATTTTTATCCTTTTAAGTCCCTCAAAAGGTTTAAAAAAAAAAAAGGCTCCAAGCTAGAAAGAGACCACTTGTGCTTCAAAGGATGGTACAAAGTGAGTGACTTTAATTCTGTAGCTTGATTACAGGTTTGCATTTTGTTTCTCGTGTGGATTATAACATACATAATTTGAAAGTGCAATGTGTATTCAGAAATTGACAGAAAATTGCTAAATATGTACTATTCTTCAAGCATACATAAATAATTTGGATCCAGTGATAAAATCTACTCTAGATATATTTTAGAGGTGAATGGGGTGGATTAGGTGAGTGGGGTAGATCAGGAGAGGAGAGGAAAGCAGGTGAAATAGACAGGTGCAATAGAGAAAATACCTTTTATATTTATTGTCCTAGGATGAAAAATACTTTTATCAAATCTGCACCTGGGTACTCAGTAACATTTGTGAGAGTATCTGTTTTGTTTTTAATGTAATATTTTCAAATTACAAGTTAGCAAACAGCAGAAAATGCTGTGGTAAAAGGAAGTGAAATAGGGCTCCAGATTATTCTGAATTGTTTTGTCTTCTCCCAGGCCACTCAGCTTGGGGAGGTTTCATTTAAATGTGCTCACTGTAGTTTCATATTCTCTGTTGATGTTCACATGGTAAAAATAACCATGAAGTGAATATGTGAAACTAAAGAAAAACAAATTCTACAAGAATCACATCCCTAGGAAATATTGTTTTGGAGTAATTCAAAACATAATTTATAGATGAAATTTGTGGCATGGAAAATAGGCTGCAATAAAAATGTTTTCTTTCTATACAATAAATCACCAATGAAATGTTATAGTCACAACTCTTTTTTTTTTTTTAATTTCAGGTATTTGATGCACATTGTGCTCATAGTAAAAACTACAAAATCAAATGAAAAAAACAAAAATCAATGGCCCATACTCATGAGATTGTGAAATTGCTACCCTTTCTTGAGGCCTATCCAGTAATAATACCTTATTTTACAGAGTAAAAGAATGCCAAAAATGAGGTAGGAACTAGATGTTTTAAAAGCTGTGGGAATGTGGGAAAAGAGAACCAAATCAGCATTTACACTGACAAATTCGAGTGACATTATATAGTTAGTTATCTTGTGCCGCTGGGCCCAGCAGTTCCTTTGGCTGCCAGATTCTATTGCCTTCAGGCTGTTTTTGCACTTTCTTGATATTTGGAAGCTCCAGAGCAATTCTCCTTTTTCTGGTAAAACTGACCCAAGGACATCAAGGGAAAGAGGAGATAAAATCCATCTGCTTTGCAGCTGGAGAAAATTGAAAACTAAAATTGAATTCAAGTTGAAATGTACAGATAATCCATATTGTACCCATAGAAAGTCAGAAGCAGCACCAAAAAGGAAGGGAAGTTTAGGAATTTTAAAAAATAGTAGCATGTTATCAGGGCCACTTTACACGACTGCAGGAGCATGAGCATGAGTCCCATGGCAGTGTGCAGTGTTTATGCAATCACCCCTTCAGCGACGGGCTGAAATGTTTTGTGGAATAAAAGAAAGATTAAACATTTTATATTATTTTCTTTATGCCAATAGCTATTCTGATAAACAGGTTTCTAAATATCATTTCTGGTATTCCAGAACTTTAGACTGGTCTTAAGTAATAGAGCCAATACCAGTGAAACCGAAAGGTTTACAAAGTTACTTTTCAGTTCGCAGCTTTCCTATTCTGTTTTATTGTTTCCATTTGCTTCCAGAAGCTCAGTGCTTTAGGTTTCCACACTACTCCTAGAAGGCAGTGATGACTAACTGGCATAAACGAATGCCTGTGTTCCCATGACCCAGGCTCTGCATATTTTAAGACCTTCTTTCTTCTCATCAAAGCAGATCTTCTGGGCTCTATTCCCTCAGAATTTCTTCTGAGTAGCTCACAATTTCATTGCCAATGTGATAAAGGATGGTCATGGCTAACCATCTCAGAAACATCTTCTCAACTTGCTTTCATTCATTCACCAGCACAAACCAGCAAGGGGACACCTAACTGGAGTGCTGTGAAGATGGCAAGATTGTTGTGAAAACGACGTGATGCCAGGGTCTGACTGTTCTCCCCAAGAGGGAAAAAATGGCTGAGATCAGCAGTTAATTCAAATTGCTTCTCCTCCTCCCCTTTTAATAAATAGGAAAATAGATATATTGTACAATCATAAAGAGAAAAATCTGATTTGCTTATGCTGAATGAGGGTCTTGCATCCTTGTGGCACTCATAATGATAGGTAAGTGCATGATTATAGATCAAAAGAGAGACTGAAGTATCGAAGAGATTAAAAAGCCAGAGCAGAGAAGGTGAGAGTTGCAACACAGGTATCACCATCTCTCTATCCCTCACACCAGGTGTCAGATGCAGGGTGAGTCACTTCAGCCTGCAAGGCCTCAGTTTCCTTTTCTGCAATCTGGGTTAGGAATTGGAATTAACATTTCTTAATCTTAGGATGTTTGGCAGCTACAGTGTGGGTTAAATGTGATCATGAATACAGAGGACAGCATGGAATCTGCCATAGGTAGTTGCTCAAGAAATGTTAGTTCTTATTGTTATTGCCCTTTTGACTCTCATTATTTACTCAACTTTCTTTGAAAATAGCTTGTTTAAAAACTTGTCTCTTATTATTCTCTCCAAATGACAGAAATAAGTGTACTTGACAAGTAATGGTGCATATGATCAATATCTATATTTCTTTCCTATTTAGAGCCAATCTGTGAATCACATTTATGCTGGATTCTGGAAACAATTTCCAGCACATTCTACTTGCAGTCAGATGAAGCAGCAATTTTCTTAAAATATGAAGCAGTTTGGGTGCTGGGCAGAACATGTATTCAGTCTCATAAACATAAACATTTTTTATGTAGCATTTAAACATGAACTATGCAACTCCAAAATGCTACAAAAATATAAACAAAATAATTTCAGGAATAAAGAGATACAGTTAAAAATAGAGAGGAAGTATAAAGAAAGAGATAAGTTCTGTATGATGTGAGAAAGTTGGTCATGGAGACATATTTGTTTTTATAAATTGTTTTAAAGGGAGATAGTAGCACATTCTAGAAAATTGTTTAACATTATATGTCAAGTGACTTTGGCAGTTAACTTCTTATTATTCTGACCTTGTTCTAGTAGCCCCAGTCCAGGGCCAGCATTGAGCTTTTCTTCAGCGACGACAACCGTATAGCCATGCTGAGTAAGAATGTGCTGGTGCAGCTGGAGCTCTGTCTTGCTGTAGAAAGGAGGTCTGTAGAGTATGGCCCTGCGGCCCTGGCTGCCAAAGTGTGTCTCCATTGATTCTTGGATCTAAAAAAAGAAGGCATAAAAATTCAATATATAAAAGTAATACATCTCCCTTGAAGGACATTGAAGGACATCATGAATGCAAATCAAGGGCTATTTGGGAAGTCATCCTGAAGTTTTTCTCTAGAAGTGAAAGACAGTTTCTCTGAAAGGCCGACAAAGACAACCTCATATGCAAGAAATGAAGGTCAATTGAATTGTCCTCACTGTAACAGAAAGATGGAAATTTTAGGCCATAAAATATAAAGGTCCTTGGAGGAATACTGATGTATAGAAATATAGAGCTCAACTCTAGCTGAACAAATTAATAGCAATGCCTTTCATCTGCATTGTGCTTTTATAAAGTAGTTCTAGCTGCAGTATCTTTTGATACTTGTTTTAGGTAAACATTGTAGAGAAAACCGACTCAGAGACGATGAGTTTTGTACAGAAAAGACATGAACAGGAAGGGGTCAAGGTGAGAAGGAATCTCAGAGCTCTCTGTAGATAAGCAATGCTGCAGTTTCTCTCAATTGGGATGTAGCAAAACTGGAACACACCTCAGTGAGGCAGAATGGGTCTTCACGTGTGAGGAGACGAGAACTACTAAAGTATCATAATTCCAGGCTATTCCCTCAATAGTTTATTGATTTTCATATAAAGATTCCTTTTTCTTACAGTGGGAATTGAAATTCTACTAACAAAGGGAATTTTTGAATTGACAAGAAAAAACAAAGGCTGCAATTTAATTCAGTATACTGCATAATGGCAGATACTGTTTTTTTCCTGAACACTTCAGATTAAACCTTGATAAAGTACAGATTATTTTTATTACTAGAAGGAGTGGTGAGATTGGATGGAGGTCAGCGAAAACCAGGAGAGAGGCTGAACAAGAGGAGCCAAAGGAGGGGGTGGTGAAGATGAGGGGGACTCTGTAAAAAAACACAATTGGGAATCTAAAGTACTTGCAATGACAGCTCTGAGTCAACCTGTCCATTTTATGAATCTAAAACACAATCTTTTCATATTGTGAATGCCATGTTTTTCAGTAATTAAATGTCTTTATTATTTCCCACACTAATAGAATCAATTCTACATCGTTATCAAGGAACACAAGATCATTTCAACTTATGCCCTTTCTTCTCTGGTCAGATCATATCACACTCTTAATCATCCTCAATCCAGATCCACAACCTGCTCCTTTATACATCACTGTACCTTCCACCTACAATTCCTTCCTCTTCTCATTATTTCACTTGTCAAATTCCAAATCAGCTCTCAATAGTCAAACATAATCTCTTTTGGAAATTTCCAATTGAAATGCATACTTCCATTACAACTCATTAAAGGAAATTACATTTTTTAAAAATAATATCAGCTCCTGAACAGCCAGGCCTGCATTGTTTATGTCTCACAAATGTTTATCCCAACATATGACATACGGTATATGCTTAATAAATGAATGTATTTAATAAAGTAATGAATCATAGCACCCATCAAAATGTTTGAAGATGCATATTGATAGAAAGAAGAAACAGAGTTAGATTGTAAATCCTTTTGACCTTTGAGGGGCAGGAACCATATCCTATTTTTTTATTGTATACAAACTATTTCTAGCTGAAAATTCATAGATAAAGCATAGAGTAGTTCAGAAGGACACAAACTCTGGATCTAAACTGCTGGGTTCAAATCGTCTGGCTGTACCAGCACAATTTGTGTGACTTCAGACAATACCTTCCTCCCAAGGTGCTGTGAGGATAAGATAGTTAATACTTGTAAAGTGCTCAGAACCATGCCTGCCATGTAGGAGGTACCATGAGGTCTTATTTTTTAATAATAATATATCACAAAGAACAATGAGTCTGAAAAAAACTGTTTCTGAGTTTGCATTCTGCCAGGCACATGCTAACATAGTTGCTAAATATGTGTGTGATGAATATAATGAAAAGGAATAGAACCCTAGCTAATCATATCTTCTATGCATGGTACTTTGGGAGAACAAGGTATTTTCCTTTGTTAAACGATACTGTGTTTTATTGATGAGGAAACTATTTAAATGCAACAGTTTAAGTGAAAATTGGGACATAATTCTCCCCAAATGTTATAATTGTTGGCAATATAAACATACAAAGAATATTTGAAACCAAATACACATTGAGCCTTTGGACATAGGGGTTAGAGGGAACTGAGTAGCCTGTAGAAAGCCAAAGTAAACAAACAAGTATCTGCGTGAAAGGGGAAGACAGATGCTTCCCAAAATATCAGTGTCACTCAAGCAAACCCACTGTATCCAGAATTCTCACCTCACATTTTCTTTTGTAAGCACAGGATGCTCCTCTCTATTACAGCTTGCTTACGGACAAAAGGGATTTCACACAAGGAAGGTATATTTTGAAACTTTAAGTAGTTTTTATTTTGAAAGATACCGTCCTCTTCCCCCACCCCTGCCCCATCAAGATCAATTTAAGCAAGAACAATGTCACTTTTACTAGTATACCCTGCAGAGGGCATAGTCTAAATAAATTGTAATTATTGGCCATATTTGGTAATAACCCTCATAGCATAGACTGAAATTTTAACCCATATCTCAGACTATAGAGAATAAATAGGAAATGAGCTTGTCAGTAGAATTATGTTGTATTATCCTGTAATACAAACTGCTGCCGTCCTTGTCATATTTATAACACACTGTATCAGCAGAATGGCCCAATACCAAAGGGCAAGAACAGTTTTAGCCGGTCTGACAACAGGTGCACACATTGCGTATGTGAAATTAAAACGATGTGAACAATTATGTCAACCGCACCAGCAAGTGCGAGATCATCAAATGCTAATAGCAGTACTTTAAGAAATAAGAGGTCCTGATTATTCCCACAATTCCAATGGTGTATTTTTAGTGGAGGAATACATTTAGCCTGGCCACCACTACAACAACTTCACTTAACACTTACAACACTGCTGGCCCAGAATTTAGAAAAGAATGGGTGTTACTGAATGTTAAAACTGTGAACTCCTGAGTGTTCACTTGCTTCTCTTTCATCTTGAGAGAGCTGCAAAATATTTGCTTAGAAATCCCTTTGCTAGACCACATAGAAGTTGTTTTATAACTGGACACTTTTTATTTTTACTGAAAGGATTCCAAAATCTGAAAACTTTGTGCCATCTGAGATAAAGCAAAGGACAGAATATGGTCATAAAGAACTGGAAGCATTAGATGCAGCAATGTAGAGTAAAAAGAGAAGACTGGGGATCAAAAATCTGGATTTGAATTCTGGCTCCATCACTTGCTTGCTTCAGCCACTGAGCTAAATTATTTAATCTGCCCACATCAGAGTTTTCTCACATATGTAACTGAAGTAACAAATCCTATTTCATGAGGTTGTATTGGGAATGAAATGAATTTTCCACATGAAAGTGTCCAACACAGTGTCTCACCAATAAATTATGTTAAATATATGTAAATAAAACTGAATAACCAATATTATATTGTAACTTTATATGCAAAATTCCATAAGTCTTTCAATTAATATGGCTTGATCTCTGTCATAGAAGGCATTTTTGCAATAATATGTATGATTACATATACCTGATGTACATTTTTCTCTACAGGAGTGATTATGTTTTGATGCATAAATATAATTTGTTTACTTATTACATTTATTTGATTTTTGTTCCCTGGGCCTCCTATCTTGGAAACTTATTATGTTTATTTTCTGTCTCTCCATACCAGAATGGAAGCTAAATGAAAGCATTGTTTTTTTCTGTTTTGTTCACTTTTGCTTTCCCAGCCTAAAAACAGTACTCGATATATAAAATACACATAATAAATATTCTTTGAATTAGTGAATGCAAACATCTTTTCCTTCAATATGTAAAAGTCTTTGTTATAAATATGGCCATAGAAGACTGGGAATGGAAAGTGGTTAGGACTTGTATTAATAAATTTATTTCAGTAGAATTATAAATAGTAGCAGGAATGACAAATATAGAGTGAAATATTTAAGCAAAATAATGAATTTACAGTAAATAATTGAATAAAGAGCTGCTTTATAAAAGTACTGTATTTCTGTTACTCACATTATTAAAAAAATAATAATAAAATAAAATAAAATAAAATAAATAAAAAAAATAAAAAATCTTTACTAAGACTTACCAAGAAACCAAGAAATATACCTCTTCAAAATATAGTAAGGCTGAAAAATAAAACTTGTTTCTTTTTTTTCATATGGCAGAAAGATTTTTTTTTCTGGATTTATTAAAGTAGCCATGTATTTATGACATCTTTTGATGCTCAAATACAAATCATATAGTAGACTTTGGATGTGTGTCATATATGACTAAAAGTTAAATTGCCTCCCTGGTTCAGATTTTTGGCGTTTTAGAAATATTATAGAGTCTATCATAGTGAATTATGTTTTCATTTTTCCACTGTAAGAAAAAAATATAGATTCTTTTTCCCATTGGTGAAATGTATGCTAATTTTAGGGAATGTAATAAATAAATGGAAGGAATTTTCTAGAATCTATAACATATACATTTTCTATTAAAAATTATCTTATAATTGCAGGACAGTTTAGGGACCACAGGTTTCTCAATATGCAAGGCGAGGCTTGAAAGAATGTCCCTCTCTAAACGAAGCTTTAGTGTACTTCTGTCTGCATCTTACAGCTAATTTAACTAAATCTCAAGCTGATGATGGGAATGCTGAACTACTCCGTGTCTGAGCATCTTCTGACTCTATTCCCAAACTGTACTTTGGGGCTATCCCCACCCTCAACATTCAATGATAGGCAAATTCACTCACCTGTGGATTTATGCACAAATAAGAGATAAATAAAGTTTCCTTATCAAAAATGTATTCCTGACGGATGCAGTGGCTCACGCCTGTAATCCCAACACTTTGGGAGTCTGAGAAGGGAGGATCACTTGAGGTCAGGTGCCTGGCCAACATGGTAAAACCTCATCTCTACTAAAAATAGAAAAATTAGCTGGGCATGATGACACACCTATAATCCCAGCTATTC